CGAGTAGGATAAGAGGTGAGTAGAAAATCTCTCAACTCACGGTAAGCGTGCTATAAAATTGCTTTTTTTACAGTTTTGTTCCTCATCGAGAGGAAATCAGGAATATTTTCAAAAATCTACAACATTTCGTGCTTCTGAAAAATCTGATCACGGGTTTCGGAGTGACTGAAGATTCCCCAAATTTGAATTACGAAAAGTCAATTATGCTCCATAACATCGTTTCACAAATGGGTGTGTGGTAATTTAAGACGTGCGGCTTTCATATCCCTAATGTGAATCATTCTTATTTTTGAATTGCGAACAGTAATCACAAGAAAAAAAAACTGCTGCCAAAACAGCCGCAACAGGTGCTAAGCGTTGGCGTTCGCGGAGTTTGGATGTGAGCATCCGAGCTGCAACGGCTGGTTCGGAGTATTATTGGAATCAAGATGGTAGAAATCACTTAGTAAAGCGTAAATTTGTTGAATATAACGGAATGCTTTCTCGTGTTCCTTTTCATTTGCAACTCTATAACAAAGGCTATTATTATTCAAACACTCAAAACTCACACCTTCAGATGCACATTTGCTGCACTACAATCCACGGGCTCTATTGGAGCAACCTCCATGTAGGTCTAAAATCAAATCATCTCAATCATTTGCCGACCAGTTAAGTCACACGAACCTGTGCCGTAGGTAACTGAGTAGCAAGATCACCTCCTTCCATGACAACTCCGTTAGTAGTTGATGTTTGAGCCTAAAAAAACAATCGAACTCATGGCTACTACGTAAATAGCGAACAATGATGACTACTGGAATATGCTGGTCTTCCTAAGCTGGTGGATGTATTATATCACTAAGATAATAGCTGTTAAGGCGTGAGCAATGAATTGATACCATAGCCGCAAGAGCCAACAAGGTATCATTTCAGAGCAGAACTCAGACTCAAATTTGCATCAATCTGTGCTTGAAGCGAGCCTTTGCCAACATCGGAAGTATTAGGTCGTGAAGAAAGTTCTTGCGCTTTTTGGTGTTCCATTTATGAACGCTTTATTTTGTTACGACTTCAAGCAAGCTGCCATGTGCTATATGCCATTTTGAAGAGCTTTTCTTGTTCTATCTAACAGCTGGGCTAGCTATGTTCCTTATTATTTAGTTGTCATTTTTTGAAGCCTTGAATACGGCATACTCCAAGAGCAAATTTGCATGATTTCCTTTTTCTAGCTCAAAGCAGGCCAGTATGGAGAGGAAGCAGGTCAAGATATTATAGATGCACTTGGCTGAGATTCGCAATAAATATGGTCTGAAACAATCGTTGAAAATACTTTTGTAACTAAAGAAAGTGGTGGTGGTGGTCGGATATTGGACAATGCCAACGCTTAGCCGAAAGTCCCTATTATGCATAAAGAGGTGTAAAGTCCAAGAAATTTAATTAGGTCGTGCCGCGACAACTCTCCACTTTGAAGGATCGTCCCCGCTTTCTGCTTGTTTCATGCAATGAAAACGACCTGACCTACTCGTTTGCGACATGCGATAAAGAGCGGATTCTTTGCTACATACACCTTTGCTGAATGGATCGACCGCGATCAGGCTCTACAAACTTTGCAAAAGTGAAACTTCACTGAAGGAAGGTTGAGGTGACTTTCATAAGGTCAGCGGCTGGTCTAGCTCTTCGGAACCAGGTGGAACTGTTAATGTGGGAAGTACTCTTGATATGTCAAATAATCCTAGAACTCTAGCACATATGCTCGAGCATTCCTCATTATAAAGGAACCAGACTCATCCCTGACAGGTAGCTCGGACGCACATTCCACAACCAACCCTGCAGAAGTTGAACCAGCTGGCTACGAATTAGTGCTGCATCCTTACTCGGTAGACCTTTTGCCTATAATTTGTCACTTTCTCGATACCTGGATAGCTTCGTCAAAAAGTTATGCTTCAAAACCCAATGCGATGCTGAAACGACCTCCACCAGAGTCATCATTTCTAGAGCTCCAGTACTGCACGACCGGGCTAATTCACGCGTTTCTTATTGGCAGAGATTTATGTATTTAACAGTTTTACTTCAGTCCAACAACTTTGTGAACGACATGCGCATTGAATTCAGAGTCGAAAACGCAATGACTTTCTTTCATGACTAATATTTCTTGTCTCACTCCCTTGATCGACGGCGATTCCGTTTCATCACCAATGTGTAGATAGAGGTCTAGGGGGGGCTTCTATTAGGTACCGGATATCTTAGTGTCGTTTTTTCACCGCGAGTTTCGGACCACCAATATTTTAATTCAAAATCCAGTGAGTGAAACGGCATATCCATCGAATGACTCATTAGCCCTTTCCCATTTACCAGTATGAGTGAAAACCTCGTACGATTAAAGTTAGGAATTTTTTGAGACGAAAAAGAGAGGTAGGTCGAATTTGACATCATCTGACAAATCATCCCTCTACCTTGCTAAACAGTTGGGCCTGGACAAAATATGTATACATTTAGTTAGAGTAGGGTCTGCACTGTTTGGTGGAAAATTTATTACTTACCAGCTCAACTGGACAATTTTTCCCGGAGTCTTTTTTGCCACATAGGGTCAAAAACGCACCCTTTTTGAGCACACGTGAGTAGCAGATGAGCACATTTATTAGAATTTCTTGGTCAATCAACTTCGTTAGAGCGTCTGTGCACCATCGATCAGTAACTGCTAGGGTGTCCTACCATTCCAGCACAAGACTGGTGCAGCCCCGTTTTGACTGATTTAGCTAGGACCACCTTTTTGGCGACGGTTGCGGGCATCCCTTCAAAGACTTTACTGTCTTTTAAGAAAACTGTGAAAAACCGATGAGCATTTTAAATGGTAGTATTCCCTCCATCAAATGCAATGCTGGTTTGGTGGGCGGAGGTTACAGCTCTCAGCAAGAATTTTGATGCATTTGGTACACACATGCGAATTTGCACACTGGACCCAGGAATTTTCAGAAGAAAGTATAAAAATTGGGGGAAAGTTAAATTGTGAACCAACAATAGAAGACGGTAAGCAACATATTTCGCAATATTAATGAGCAAAAACTGCCTTCTGGGATATTGATTTTCCATAGTAATCGGCCCCAAAACTTCCTGAACTCAGAAAAGCGACACTAAGATATCCGGTACCTAATATTTCGCCTGGAGAAGTTGGTTACTTCAGAGGGTTTTTGTCATGAGAATTTTTGCTCCCACTAATGGAAACAAAGGTGCAAAAGAGCTGTGCGTTCGGTTTCCCTCCATCCAGACGTGTTTGCGTCATCTAGCTTTAGCACGTAGCATTTTAAAAGTACTGGTTGCATATTGCAGGATGAAAAGGGGTACATTCGAATAAGTGAGCTACTTGCAGTACTTGGGACTAAGCATGGGACTAAGCAAAGGGGAGGCGATTCTGGAGCAATTTATGTTCTCCCTGACGCTTCTCCCCTCTCTTGGGCTTGGTTTCCCCGTCACTGCCGTCGGCCCTTTTTTGTATGTCCCCCGTACGACCATAAGCGCCCAAGGATGATCCTTCTCTAGCCGAATGGTGTGCCACCTTCATGGGTGGCATTGACGTAGGATCTACAAAACAGCACCACGAATAAAAGCCATCAGGTAGTTTCTTGTAACTCCGCTCTGGTTCAAGGAGACCCGTCGATAAATACAGCCTGCCAGGAAACTTATCTCATTGCTTGAAGCGCTGTCAGGTTATCTTTCCCTTCAGTATGAACAAATGGCCATTGTCTCCGAGATAGATTTTTGGCTATTAACGATAAAAGAGCTGTAACACACCTCATCTATTGTCCTATTTCTTGCATCTAGATGGTTGGGATACAATCCGTCGAAATCAAGTTCCCCTTCACTGGATTTCTTTTTCGACTTCTTCACCGGACTTGTCATCACAACACTGTCAACGTTCAGAAACAGATTTTCATTGAATTTTCATTTTTCTTCAACCTATCTAGCTAAAACAACTTCACATACAAAACGCGAGAGATGCGTCCACAGTTTATAATTTCTCAGTCGCTTTACCGTAAACAAGATACTCATTACAACAGCCAGGTAAGCTTCCACTGAACTCACAGTATACGCGAACCAAAAAAAAACTTATAGATTTAATTTATCTCTACAACATAGCAACAAAACTAAAAATTAATCTATGTGTTGTGTTGCTTAGCGAGCTCCTCTG